ACAATATTTTAAAATTAATTGCCCAGAAAATGTTCCAATATTCAAATATTATTTGTCAAATATTTGCTAATTTTTTTAATGATTGTACAATATTCCTATAAAATTGTATTTACACTTGCAAACATCAATTAAATGTTTGACAAACTTCATTGTGTGCTTCAAAAATTATGTTTTCAATTAAGCACAAACTTTTGCCAAATATTTGTCAACAAATGTACAATATTAACAAAATCATTGTTCATGATCGGTATTTATATATACTTGGAGTATATTCATATATTTTTCAAAAACCAAATGATATTAAATATATTTATAAATTTCATAACAAACATAAGTAATAATACTTTGGTGTAGGATTTACAGAAAATATTATTATTTATTTTAGGTTAATTGATTCTAAACTTTAATATGATTCATTTCATTAATATATCATTAGAATCAAATGCATAACATGTGTAGTTCAGCTAACAATCAAACATAATATATTCGTCGAATACAGACAAACCGAGGCTGCCAGAACTAATCACAAAATTTCAGAGTTGCTGTATCAATCCCTAGGCCCGAACATTTCAACAATCCAACAGACGCTAAGCTCCTTAAAGAAATAGAAATAGAAAATTTAATATAGACAGTTAAGACGTATGTAAAAAACAAATTATCATTGTAAAAATTAATATTATGTAAAAAAAAAAGGTCAATGGACCATCGCCACCGAGGCTTATTTCTAATAAAAATAATAATAATACTTATTAAAATGAATATAAACAAAATTATTTATTTTTAATCTTACACGAATTCCATGATAATAATATACCTATACCAGTATTTGTACATTACTTCTTGTTATTTAAATCTGTTTTACTTTATTATTTATACACACTTTTGACAAACCTACACCTGATTCCCGAGTACTAATATTATTTTTGATGTTTGAAAATGTAGTTCACAAATGTAGATATTGTCTCCAAGCATAAGTGATGTTGATTGTTGTTACCATTTTCCCTTTCACTCAATATTTTTTGGTGTCTTAAATATTGACCTAATAGCTGATTAGGTTCATACCTTCGTATACAACATTTCTGGCTATGAGACATAATATTGATATTGCAGATAAAATGAGGCAGAACGGAGAAACTAAGGTGTTCTGTAAATTAAATATCTATAAAGATACTCTGTTGATTTAGTTATTAAAATTTACATACCTAAAATAATAAGGTATATTTTTGGATGATTTTACAATTTTACATAGTTTTCATCAAACAGTTTTAACAACACTCAATTTGAAGATCACACTAACTATTTTTTTATAGTTGGTGTTAAAAATTCAAGTGTAGTAGTGTCGCAACATATAAACTAAATTTACATAATGTTATAATTATTATATGATAGCTAATCAGTGGTGCAACCCTAAAATAGATGCCGAAGTTTCGGAAACTTTTTATCTTAGTTCTTATCAGATGTAACTGATCATTGATGTAAGAAAAAAACTTTTTATCCGTGTTCCTTGATCATAATCATGTTTAACGTCGGAAAACGATCTTAGAAAACTTTCTCTCATTACGTCTCACCAACGTGCGGATAAAAAAATACGATATAAATATTTAAAAGTTAAAACAGAGAATATTGTTTATAATTCACGCGCTTTTATTCACATTGCGCAAGACGTGTTAAGTAAAAACTGGCTAACCATTTTCAACTTTGATTTAAGCTTACAATTGCATTGTAGGTACCTACCTACCCAGTACCCATACATCGGCATTCATTTAAAACTTTTTGAATCGCAGTGGTATAGTATACCTATATTCTATAATATATACACACTACAACTCAAATCAAAGCAGAAAAATCGTTCCATTTTATGTTTAAATCATAGGCTTGTTTACGGGAGTGGCCGGGTGGGCACTGCCCCCCTCCGGGAGACTTCCCCCAACAAAATCACGCCAGGATACTAAAAAAATCGTTTGGTGTGTACGCTGCACTCGCAATAGCTATAGATTTTGATGAATTGTAATTTTTTTGTTACGCATTTATTAATTAGTGATAATGTTATCATATTATAATATTATGTTATTCAATTCTTTATAACTGCTTAACATGGTACTGTTGTGCCCATTTGACAGGTCTTGCGTTGTGATATCACAGATTAAATAAAATATTATTTAACTTGTGATAATATGGTTTTATCAGCTGAAAATATCCAATTACTAATTAACATTTCAAAAATGTTTTTAGTTATTTTTCACCATTGTGAATTTTGTAACATAAAAAATGAATGTTTCTTCATGACTAAAAAAAAAATAGGTCTCACAATTTAAAAATGTATTGTGCCACCCTCCACCACCAAAGTTTGAACACGCCTGTGGTTTAAATATCTAATTTCCTTAATCTTATGATCTTATGATCATAATACATGGTTTCTACTTAAAGCATCGACATGTTGCATTTGCGTTCTAGACCTATGTTCAATTTTGTAGTCTCATTCTTGTAAGATTAACCCAAGCCTGGCTATCCTTGAGTTAATGTATTTCTTAGCAAGGGCCATGGGTACACTGTTACAATTAGTAACAATTTTAAATTTAATTCCTTGTAGGTAGACACGAAATCTTTTAATAGAATTAATTATTGCCAACATTTCCAGTTCATAACTATGATAGCGAGATTCAATTTCAGTAGTACGGTGACTAAAAAAAAAAAAAAAATAGAATAAAGATTGCCATCCTCCTATGTTTGCAATAGTATAGATCCGATTCCATGGCTGGATGCATCGCAATGTAGTTCTGTTTCAGCAGTAGGATTATAAAGACAGAGTAACGGGTGTTCATTTATTTTGATTTAATTGTTTCAAACGCATTTATTTAGTCTTCTCCGAGAAATGAAAACGAATGTTGTCTTTTAACAATTGATATAATGGCTTAGCCACTAATGCAAAATTAGAAATAAAACTACTAAAATATGAAGCTACTCTGATAAAGCTTTTGAGTGCTTTAGTAAAATTTCGCACTGGATAATCTTTTACAACTGCTAGTTGCTACATTTTTTTGGGTTAGGTCGAATGCCTGATGCATAGACTAGATCAGCGTTTCCCAAAGTGTGTTCCGCGGAACCTTAGGGTTCCGTGGGACTATGTCAAGTGTTCCGGCAGATGTATGAGATTATTGAGAAAATTATGTTTATTAATTATGTTTGTTATTTAAAATATTTTTGACTGAAAATTTTTTTTAACGAAGTTTAATAATGAAAAGTTATCAATAACTAGATATCAATATTTAACCGCCAAGTCTAATATATGTTACCCACCTATAGTTATTTTAGTGTTTATGTTACTGTATTGTATTATTATTGCCTAATCTATTACTTTAATATCATCATTTATAATTTTCATGTTCATTGTTCATAGATTATTTTATTGTTAATGTGTGTTAATAGCGTCATACGAAGAAAAAAAAAATGAAAAGTCATTAACAGTATCATTAAAATATTATTTAGACTTGAGAGTTTAGAGAATTGATTTTTCCTTTTTTTATTTAGAAAAATTGTAGTTGAGTTGGATTAGACATTAGGGTTCAAACAAACAATTTTTTAAGGGTGCCGTGGTCGTAAAAGTTTGGGAACCGCTGGACTAGATAGCCTAAATAAATAACTCTGGTCTTTAGAAAAGTCATTCTTTGACTCGACAAATAATAATGCAAAAAAGATCACTACATTTGAAAAAAAAATTAACTGTTTATTTTTTATTTTGGCGTGTTCTATACCATAAGTATTATTATTAATTATTTGTTTACATTTTATACAAGATTCTATGCAACGGGTTGTCGCGGTCGTTATTGCAACGACCGCGGCGTCTCTATCGACGTCCGCGAGATCGCGACCGACAACCGGTCTGGCCGCCGGCCCGGCCAGCGACGGACGACGGATCAGCTTTTGCCTGTCCGTCGTTGCCGTCACGTCGCAGCACTTATAAAGTTACAAAATTGTTTTTTTAATAACAAATAAACATATTAACCAACTTGTCATTTATTATTATTACCTTCACACCCGTTCAACACCTACAATTTCACCAAATATTTAATTTTGTATTTTCTGTACATGGTATATTTTCATTAAAATTTCGCTCTTTTTGAACAATTTAGAGACATGAAAAAAGAAAGTTCTCCATAGGTCCAGCGACGGACGACGGACCAGCTTTTGCCTGTCCGTCGTTGCCGTCACGTCGCAGCACTTATAAAGTTGTACATTAAGATTTGATTTTTAATAAATACAAATATTAACCGACGTTTCAAGGTAACAATTGTTGTATTATCCTCAAATACGTTCCTACACCATACCTTCTACATGACATTAAATATTTTTAATTTTTTACTTTTAGGTCTTTTCAATATTTACTATGTACAATTCCACATTTATAAAGAACATTCATACTGAAATACATGGTATAATAATATATTTTACCGAACGTTTGTTTCTCGTATAATAGGTTTACGTCGTATACACTATATACGTGTTATAATACGGTGTACAGAAAAATATAACGTAAATATAAATAATATTCAATTTTTTTTTTAAGTTTATTAAAATAAATTATCTAGATATGTACTCATGGATAACTAAAATTCTATGAACATAAAGATAAATGTAACTGAGCTGAAATTCATTTAGGTAAAAGATAAATAATTTTTATTTAGATATTTCCCAACATTCACTTAATTAATAAATACGAAAAAAATTATGTACACAAGAAGAATCTAAGAAAGCAATATCTAATTTTTTGTTTGATCGCAATTTTTTTAGTATCCTGGCTAAGTATAATATTATTTGTTTATTTTCGGTTGTTTGTCACTGAACCTTAATTAACATTTAGTTTATTAATCGAAAATATATTGTTCCCGTATGCCGTATTATTACACCTGCTACTAGTATATTCTACTGCATTAGAAAACTATTAATCTACCGATTTAATTCGTTTCACTAATTCAGTTAAGTAATTTCAGTTATAGTGTACGATGGCTACAAATAAAAAGTATCAAAACATAAGTAAGTGTAATTTAAAATCTAGCTCATGAGTTAAGTATATTATATTATACACATATTCTATGACGGTTAACCAACTTCAATATTATCTATATTTTCAAAGACTTTTGTCGTTTACTGAATTTGTTTATTTAAATTTACTAGCAAATAATAACTATATATACAGGTAAATAATAAGACTTTTGTATATATAATAATTTGTATATACTATTAAATTATAATTTATAGGTTGGTTAGGACAAAATACTCATCAATATAAATCAAAAATCAAACTTTCAGCTTGATATCTAGCTTATCTAGCTTAACATTTTGAATTTTCTTCATGTATAATTATTAGGTATAGGTAGGTAACTTCGTATATATTTTGACTCCGAAAAATTACATTGATATGCTGTTAAAAAAAGGTTGCATTTAATTTATAAAGTATAAACCTTTATTTACCCATCATCATTATGTTAGATATTTTAGTCATATAGTTAAGGGTACCTAAATTATAATATTTATTGTCAATATCTAAAGGTCGTATATTTTCTTATTCGTTTTTTAGGTATTCAACCACCGAAAATTCCACGGACTTCTAAAACCATATATGAGGTACATAATATACTAAACTATTAACTTTATTTTGTTATGTATAATGCATATATTTATTTAAATATGTTCCGATGCTATACGCGCATAGAGACGCGAGATACCACCTTAATTTCCTGAACAAGTTCCGTGGACGTTCTAATTCTGAACGTCTGATTGCATTTAAAAATACATAGGTAATACCTACCTATTTTGTATATTATAGTTGCCCAGACAAAACTTAACCGAATCTGATCTCGTCAAAAAATCGACTTCCGACAGAACTAAACGCCGTGTGGCACACAAGGCGTGGTTTCCCCGGCCAGTAATCACTAAGCCTGTGGTGCCGGTGGTTCCTCAGCGGAAACCAAAAAAAAACCATGTCTTAAAGAAGGGAGTATGTATATTATTAAATTATTATGAAATATTAATGCATCAATGTAAATCACACGATTTATCACACAAAATTTTTTATCTATATTAATTATTTATCTTTTTTATAGTTTATTTAAGAATATAATATAGGTAATAATTAGGTCATTTATATTATTATGTATTATGTGTAAACAAAATAATATTATTGTACACTACACTTTCAATGATTAATTTTTATTTAAACATTTACATTACACATTTAATATAATATTTATCACTCGGCTCAGAATCCAATTCAGTAAACTATCTTATGAAAAATTCGAGATTTTGACTTTCGACAGTATATGCGAGTAGAATATAAGAATATACAGTATTAAGTTTATAATATAATAAATAATAATTTTATGTTATAAAATAATCTGAATTTTGATGTTTACTTGCCGATAATGTAAAGTAGTGTCTAAATACTTTATTTTTCATTTTTAGTTTTTCTCACGTGTACAGCCCTGCAGAGTAAGGCAAATTAATGAGACGGTTGCTTTGGATTCTGCAAGAACCCAACATGGCCAGTCGACAAGTTCTGGTATAGAAGTAGCAATAATAAGTTTTTAATACTTTAATTAAATATGATTACATTTAAAGAATCCGGAGAAGTCATAAGTCGTTCCGCCGTACAGTAGGTTTGAGTGTGCCTTTATAAATACCTTGTCAGTTACCATTAAGTAATGGACGTGTACCTATTCACATATGTGTTGAATTTAAATTCAGTGATAAATCATATAGGTACCTATGCAGTTATAAGTTGACAAAATTTTTTTAAGTAGAGAGTCAGTTCAGTCAACTTCTGTTTCTAAGGATATTTTATTTATTTATTTATCTATTTTTTTTCCATTAGTGTATTACTTATATAGGCATATGGCAGTATAGCCAATAATTTTTTTAGGTGGTCAAACATAGAAATTTATCATCCGTCATCCACCCACCAACCCACCATAATTAATCATCATTAATCCCAAATTTTTACTACTTACATTAATCATACAATATTACATAAGCAGTAGTATAGTATACATAGTATAATATACATTATACCTCTATCTGCAGCTGTAGTAAATATTACTTACTATTATTGTTGAACCACATTTTTCCTGAACCAAATCACATATACCTAGCTAGGTACTATACCGTAGACAATTTTTATTTTATCGACATTTTATTATTATACCTTTCGAGAGTAATATTATATTGTAATCAATAATATATTTAGTATTTATACTATAGGTATATCTTGACACAGATTTTTAGTGAGTGAGTGTAATTTTAAATTGTTTATATAAATACATTGTTCGTTTGTAATTTCTATTGTCTAGAAGTTGACGACAATCTCAAGGCCAACAAAAGAAAGTTGGGAGACTTAGATTGTGATGAAGTAATTAAAAAGAAGCAAAAAAAGAGCAATGTTGACAAGTCAAAAAATAAAGACTTAAAACAAGAAAAAAAATCACACTCGCGTAAAGGTACACAAAAATGTGTTCACATTTAGCACCTTATGGCTCATTCCACTACAAAAAAAAATGTCACGTGCTTTTGTGTCATCCATCAAAAGTGAAATTCCAAATTGTATTATCAGAATAACTAATAATTATTTCTTTGCTGATTATCGTTGTTAAAAAAAATTGGAATTTTACATTATTTCACTGGGAGTTTTCGATTTTTGTGGTCGAAGGAATCATTCTGCGCATTGCACATTTCTGGAATGGTCATGCTTATATAAAAACACAAAATATTGGTGTGAACAAAAATTTATAACAACAAATCGTTTCACTTTTTTTTTCTTTTTTTATTTGAAGAGGGTTGGAAATTTCGAAAAATATTTAAAGTACGTGCGCAAACATAGGTAAAACAACATTATTTTGCATTCAGTATGGTAATATCTTGAATCAAGTTTTTATGTCACATGTATAACTACGTTTTTAACCTCATATAGGTGCAACTGAGAGTCATACTATGTTGTAATTAATAATATTTACAATATAGATTGTATTATATTTATACGAACTGGAAGTAATAATATATATTATTTTAACATAACTTTTTAGTTTGTGTAATTTTAATGTGTTTTGAAAATACTTTGTTTATGTGTAATTTCTATTTTCCAGGAGTTGACGAAAGGGTTAAAGCTGACAAAAGAAAGTTGAGAGACTTAGATTGTGATGAAGTGACCAAAAAGAAGCAAAAAAAAAATAATGCTGACAAGGCAATAAATAAAGACGTAAAAGAAGGAAAAAAATCACACAAACGTAAAGGTATACAAAAATGTGTTATCCACCAAAAGTAAAATTATCAATTTAATATATTACTATGCAAATTATTATTGGCTGAGTAGTGCCGTTAAAAGTATTTAGAATTTCACATTACTTCACTTTGATCTAAAAAAACCTCAAGATGGTTCACTTTTGATTTTAAGACTCTTAAGTCTTTATATAATATAACGTGAAGTAGTAAGCAGTATAGCTTGTGTGTACCTAGGTTCAAATGTTTAATGATATTTTATAATAATTCAGATTTAATATTATTAGTTTAAACTTAAATTGTAAATTTAAAATGAATCTAATTAATTAATGTCTATGCTAATTTTTTTTAATTATATAGTCATGTTCTCCGAAACATCTGCTGGAAAAGCTGATTTAAAAATAAGAAAAAAGCATATTAAAAATTAATTTTAGGAAATCAGACAAGGTCGAACACCTTATCAAATTTTTGTTTTAGGTTTAATAATATACCTAAAATGTTTTTGAAATATTTATGCCATTGTCGGTAGCTATATTTTATTCTGTATATTATGAATGTAAAATATAATTTAATATATTATTTTAGGTTTAGCCTAATGTGGACTCAACGAGAAATTTGTTTGCCTAAAAGTATTTATATAAATAAATCACACAATCATGCATTAGCCGTATGACAATATTGTTCCATCAGACTATCAGAGTCCTAAATTTCAGTTGAATATTATTGAAACAATTGTTTGTACAAATAAAGTGTAAATTGTTAACTATTTAATTTTAGTTTATTATTTTGCAAAAACACAATATAGGGAAACAGCTGCATCTGAATTGGGTGCCAAAAGAAGAGAAATTTTGAATTTAATTCCTTACCTACGAGGTTTTTTTGTCACAAAGCTGAGTTTTTCGCGTACGACTATTTTTCAGGACAGCTACTAACAACGTTCAAAAAGCCGGATAAGTGATTATTGTAATGATTTTAAATTGTTGTTACAGTTTCAAGTGGGTGCCGAATTACGAGTGTAAAAGTTTGAGCAGGCGACTTAACGTACTTATAGTTGATATTTTAAATATCTATTGTTGTAGTTGAAAAACGAATAACCGTAGAAACTTGAAATTTTCACCAAATATTGATTATATTATCATTTTCCATGCGTCATACAAATTTTCAAACTATTTTTACTTTTTTGGTACTATTCATATCCCTAAGAAATTTTTCTAATTTTGTAAATAATTTTTAATGAGAAATTCATAAAAAAATTTAATTTTCATGTTTAACATATGGATATATAGTAATCTATATCTAAAAAGCCGTGTACAGTTGTATTGCGTATACGAAATTAAGTGGTCCACCGGTCCTCGGGAAAACGTGAGAAGAGGCTGCCATAATTTCAGATTTTATTACAATTTCTCGTTAAAAAGTTTGCAAGTTTCCTTTCATAATTTAATTTCTAAAAGTAGGGTTCCCATGATTTTTACAAAAAAGTCATCTGCATAATTGTCTGATATTTTCAAATTTATTAGGTACTAATTGATTTAGTAGATAGTTATTATACTTAATTAGTAATTCGGAATCCCGTCTGACAAAAACACCCTATTTACTTTTTTTTAATTACCTACAATAAAAATAATAAATCATAAGATATTATAAAATATCTATAATTAAACTAAACGGGTGTTTGACTAACTGTACCAACATGTTGACGGGGTCTGTGATTTCGAAAACAAAGAGAAAAAACAAGTATTTTGTATTTGACACTTTAAGTTTTGTTCATAAAAGTATACCATTTATCACATTTTAACTTGGTTTATTTTATTTGTTGTCAATTTATATCGTATAGTAGTTTATATCGTAGTTACTTTTTTATAAGATATTCAATAACTGTATAATTAATACAGAAAAACCATACATGTATACATTTATTATGACACAATTTAAAAGTTATATTTAATTTTATGCACGTACCTATTATAATTAAAAAAAAATCACGAATTTTAAAAATGAGGTGGCCTATCAATGGCTACTACTCCTGCACGAGTTCGTGATAAATTCATTGACGATTCCAGCATGAGCCAAGTGTTGGAGATGGGATTGTAAGATTCTACAGAACTATAAAAAACTTCACCGTTGTTTCCACCGATGACATATAATAAACCATATAATGCAACTACTCCTATATTAACATTTTAATTTAAGTTCAGTACATTTTTAAAACAAGTTGTTTTATAAAATAATTTTGAACTATTCTACTAGAATTTACCTGCATTTTGTCGAGGCATATACATATCTGCAATAGATGTCCAAACTCCTGTACTTGGACTGTATGCTTCAGCACTTTTATGAACTTTTAATAAATCACGACCACCTACAGCATATAGGACACCATCTAAAACTCCTACACCAACACCATGTCGATGTTTACACATTTCTGCGACTGGTTCCCATGTATCAAGACAGGGATTATAACATTCAACAGAGTTTACACATAGCCTTGACGAATAATGACAACCTCCGACCTACGCAATTTAATAAAAACATAAAAAGCCAACAAAAAGTCTTGGAAAAGCAATATTATTGCATAGCATTTTTCAATGACAGTGATTAAATACATATTTATAAAATATTGAATAAATACTACATTATTTGTACTAATTACATACCAATATTCATTATTTATATATGATAAATATTTCAAATTAAATATTGTACAAGTTCTATAAGAAATTAAAAATCAAGCGTATGATAAAGATATAAACAATTATTATTTAATAAAATTTTTAAAAAATAAGTTGTAAATATACATTTACAAAATTTAATGTACTTTTATATATTTTGCATTATTACTTTCAAACATTTACAATATTAAAAAGCAAATCTGGTCATAAACGAGTTAAAAAGTTAAATTTAGATTTAATTTGATTTATATTAATTTTTAACTTGTTAAACTCATTTTTATTGATATAAACTTAATAAATAACGAGTTACTTTTAGTGAAATCCAATTTCGCTCATTTATAAATAATCAAATAATAAATATGATACAATTATTATTGATGATATATATTGCATAAACATTTACTTTTGATTATGTTAAACCATATCTAACTGCTTAAATATTGAAAAATAAATAAATAACTTAACTTAAGTTAATAAGTTAATTATAAGTTTTCAACAAACTTCTAACTTAACTAAGTTTTAAAGAAAATGAGGATAACTATAAACTTTAAGCTTTTTAAAATGTGTTCTGTCAACTTAACTCAGTTAAAAATTATCATTAACTTGCCCAGGCTTGTTAATAAGTAATAACTAATAACATTAATCAGAAACATTTTTTTATTACATTACGTAAAAAAAAAAATGAAATCTAGTTTTGTTATTCCCTATATAATTTTATAGGAGTATATTTTATACCATACTAGCTGATCCCGTGCACTTGGTTGCCCGTTAAAAATGCCAACTCTATATGACACTCGATGGTTTTAATGCGAACAGTATATTATGTCTACCTGCTGTGTATAATTGAAATAATATGTTTTATATTTATTTTGATTGCGGAAACGCCGATGAGCGGCTATAAACGCAACTCAGCCACCTTGGTAGGCAATGTGCGAAAATTCAATTGTAGCATGCTTATAACTGATCTGCCCAATGAACCGCTGCAGGTAACCAATAAACAAAAAAAATAACCATTTCTACTAAATATATTTATATTTCTCTTATAACCAATAGCAACCGTATATAAACAAATATTATCTTCGTAAATCTTAAAATCTCTATTTGAGCAACTCCCTGGGTCGGACCTATCGGGTCCAATTGTGAATCTTGACCATCCAAGATAGTGTATTATTAGATTAGTAAAATAAAATAAAATAAATTAAAATTGTACACGCGCAGTTTTTCTGGTAACGCCAATAACGGAAAATGGAAAATGAAGTCGTAATAATCGAATAATCATATTTCATATAAATAAAACCTAAATTTTATCTCTGATATACACTATTACGTTCTATGTAAAGAGAATATTACGGCTATAAATAAAATCGAACGGAATAAAAACGATACGAAAATTATCACTTTACAAAATATAAACATTACTTTATATAGTAAATAAAACATAATATTAATTACCTAATATTCAATACTCGACATATTACTCCATGTTGATCCATTTTTTTGGTGTTTGTCGGGGGCCCCATTTTAACGATTAATTATGTCATATGGACAACTTTATAAGGTAAAGCTTGCTGTAGCTTTTTCAATTCGAAAAAACATTCTGGAACTCAATAAATAAATCATCAAAAAATTTAAAAAAAAGGGTTTTTCCAAAATGTTTGTTCGTAAAAACCTTCTCCTTAATTACGAACAATTAAAAAAAATTTGAGCCAAATCGCCCAGTCGTTCTCAATTGATGAATTGTTATACATTTTTGACTCCATTTTTATAAATAAAGAAATATGACTCTCAGTGCAAAAATATCAGTTTCTAGGGTAGTTATTAAATCATTGAACTGTGTGTATAAAAAAATATTTATAATACTACCTAATAAATTATTATTTTATTAATAACATTTTATTTTTTTGACCCCTATTACAATCAGGGACGCCTAAGGGCCCAGCCCCCCCCCCCCTCAACCGACATATTATTTTCCAAATGTTTTAAATAATTCTACAGATCCTGATAATACTTTATTTCAAATTACATGTATGTCTGATAATATAATATATTATTATACGTATTATTCTGGGGTGCAAATATTAAGATATATCTTAGTTCATATTGGACAGTGATTCAATTTTTGTAGTTTTACATTATCAAAAAATTATGCCCCCCCCCCCACTCAGATCTTTCCACTGGATCCGTGCCTGATTACAATCTGACAAATATATTACAATATCAATATTATAAAATAAGATATTAGTTTACCGCATATAAAAGATTATTCAGTACTCCAACCCCAAAATCAGCTCTTTTAGTAGACATACTAGATACCATACGCCATGCTTGAGTACTGTAGTCAAAAACTTCTGCACTATTTAAAGTATTAGTACCATCATATCCGCCAACCTTGAATTTATTGTAAAATATATAGGTATTTACTTTATAGTTTAGAAATAACTAAAAAATGCCAATAATATTACAAGATAACTTACAGCATATAGATAATTATTTATCACACCAACTCCGAAAAAACCTCTTTTAACCAACATGGCAACTGATGATTTCCAACTAGGTGATTCTGATGATAAGTCTAGCACACGAACACAACGAAGAGGATGTTCAATAGAAGTACCACCCAAAGCATACACAAAACGATCATTTAATACAGCTAAACCAGGTCCATACGGCAAAATAGAATGGCTTTCAACTATTTCTGCAGGTCCAAACTGCCATCGATTGATTTTTGGGTCATACCATTCTGTATGATAAGTTGATGATACTAAACTATTCCCATATCCACCAACTACTAAAATGATCTGTTATATATAAATCGATTAAATATTTAAAAAGTAATAAATTATAAGGAAATCATACTTTATCAAAACCAGCAGGGCGCCTAGGTTTAATCCGGATGTATTCTGGAACAGTGATAAGCTGGTCTGGCTGATTTCTCTTGAGAAAATTAAAATGTAAAGCCTCCATTATAAAATATTTCCCTTTAAGAATTATAAAAACATGAAGTACAAATTGATCCACAATAGAAGAATAATTAAAGAAAGAACTTATACTTTGAGGCCAGTAATTAAGAACAGGTTCCTTGACCACTTTTTGAAATAAATAATTTTCCGATGTTAGGGGTAAACGCACATACTCCATTAATTGTGGCAGAATACATTTTCTAGAATCCAACTCATGTCTTACCCAACGAATAACACATTCAAATACCTACAAAAATAAATAAACTTATAAATAGAAAATGGTTGATTATTTCATGTTTTTTGATGAATCTCTACTTAGCGTACTATTTCTTTTCATAGCATACAAATCAATAAAAAATAATTTTTATTTTGTTAAACATTTGGTCGTATATTTTGTACTTTCGAGAGAATATTTTTATTGAGACCAATTGAAAAAAATCGTGGGTTCATTTTTTTATTTCCGAGTTATTGAGGATTGAGGACACAACCACAACTTTATTATTTTTAATATCTGTATCTACCTAATATTTTGATAACTGCAGTGACTTGATAAGACGTTCAAATAATTACAAAAATAAATAAAGTTATAAATAGGGCCTGGATGTACATGACTATCATTTTTTTTTTTGGAGAACCGTCTACTTATAGCTAAGTTGTTTTCTAGATTAAAATGCATTTCAATAACATACAAAAATTAATTTTTATTTTATTCTTTAGTAATATTTGTACAATTTGGTCATATTTTTATTATATTTCTTAGTATTACTTATTGAGAAAAAAAAAAATTATTATATTTCCCAGAAATTTAAGAAAGAACCACAACTTTATTATCCAGCACCACAAACTTGACACAAACTAGCTCTTTTAAAAAAAAAATAGCGGAGGCACAACAGTGTATTTTCTCGCAGCAGTAGTTGCCCATTTAAACAATGTAAACGTTAGTGATTTTTTTTAACCGGACCTAACTAGTTATCTACTAAATCAATTAATACTTAATAAATTGGAAAAAAAAACAGGAAAATTGTGCAAATCCTTTTGCAAAAATCATCGAAATTTATTGTACTATTCAAAATTAAATTATTTAAAGGAACATGCAAAATTTTTAATGAGAAATTATATTGAAATCCGGAATCACGGCGGCCGCATCTCAAGTTGTCGTGCCGACCGGTTCTATCACTCCATTTCGTTTACACAGTACAAAATTATTGTTATTTCGTATTGGCGTATTTATTATATTTTGTTCTTTTTCGTTATCGTTATCGACTATCTCTTATTAAATTTAATTATATTTTATAAATTAGAATATAGAAATTAGTCCATTGCTTACTACATAATGTGTTATTACTTATTTCAGTGTTCGAAATTATAAATATGCCAAAACTGTAAATAAATAAATGCTAAGTCAATTGAATTAAAGTACACTTATATTGCTTCAATAATTTATTTACTTGACGATAAATTATTTTTAATAGAGAAGTCTATTAAAATATTTTAAATTATAATTAAGTTCTAATGCCTTTTGTTTATTTTGTTTGTGATACTTCGTGTGCCACATCATATAAAATATATAATTTCTCGTCAATTAAATTAGTTATTGAAACAAAATAAGTGTACTTGAATTCAATTTACTTACCATTTAATTATGATATCATATTATTTAAGGTACTTAAACTCTGTTTTTTTTTTTTACTTAGCCGTTCTTTACACATAGTTCGACGAAATGTTTTTGGTTGTGGTTTTTAATATGTGAAACATGTTGATAACTGCAGCGACAGATTTCATAAATTTAAATTCTAATTTTTATCGAAAGCCGAAATGTATCGATACGTCATGCTGTTAACTGCAATCACTAACATATTTTCATGGCAATAATTTTAATTTGTGTTTATGATTTCACTGATTCAGAATCTAGTAATCTACATGTTTAATTTTTGCAAGAAACTCTTAATATAATTACAGGTTTGAATATTAACATTAATATTAATTTAATGTTCTTTATACCTATAAGTACCAAACAAAAAAAACACTTAAAACAAACATTTTTAAATTGTTTTCTAAAATGTTATAGTATTCAAATTTAAACTCAAATACTTAATAAATATGCTTCTTAGGAGTTCAGATATAAATTGTAAATATTAATTTAAAAATCAATGAGATTATATACGAAATTAACTTAATTTTCCATTCCCTTATACTAAAATAAAACAATAATCAATTTTGGTTTTCTCACTTTTTCTTCAGAAGGAACTGTAAGCTCATCACCGGAGATCAACATAATTACTTGTTCGGATGGTATGGATAGGAATTCGTCACTTTCAACAACTTCTCTAAGAATCAAAATATAACATTAATAAATACAATTCCTTTAAAGAGCCAGTATCATAAATATTAAATAATATTTCATACGCAAAGTTTTGTTTAATATACAATTTTGAACTTATTAATAATTGCATACAGCTGTGTAAATCAGCTAACGCGTTTATACCAAGACAATTTGTAGGGTGCAGTAGTTTCTGTAAAAAATGACAGCAAACCTCTTTTATTTCTTGTAATTGCATGAGATTGGCGGCTGATAATAAAGTCTTGAGAAATAATTATTTATTAATAAAGAAATAATTTTAAAATGTTGTTGTCTACAACAAAATAAAACTTCGCCTATTAGGTATTACCTGTACATTATTTTCGGTGATCATGATTTTCCCGGAATAAATAAAGTCTACTATGAGTTGTAAGGTGATAGAATCTAATTGTTTTATAACAACAAGATCTTTATCCTTTTCTTCAAAATGTGTAAACATTGCATAGAAATATGGACAAGCCGATGATAAGACTATTTTATGCCCAAATATTGTATTACCAGTACCATCCCCTGTTTCCAGTTTAATATCGCAAAACACCTCATCACTAAAGAACAAAATTGTGTTACTAATATTTATCCAACAGTCTAAATCACTTACCACTTACTTGCGCAAAGATTGTAATACTTCAAAAATTTCCGATGAAGGCGATTTTTTATAATACTCGAATCCTGATATTTCATGACTACTTGGTATTAGCATTCCCTGTAGATTTTGCATTTTAAATCATATGTTTATTAGGTCCAGAGCTTTGAATTGGTCTCAAAACAGCAGTATTCCTATATGCTATTAAAAATATGTACGAATATTAAAATTATATAAATAAATTAAAATAATAAGGACAAAATAATTAATCGAAAATGAATGGATTCTAAAAACTTGTGTAATACATTTTTTAAATCATATTATAGTATTATTTGGAAATGGTTAGTATATTTTTAATAAAATATTGTTGAATTCAGTAAAGTAATATTTTCTTACATAGGTAATAGTATAATATATTAGTTAAGTTCAGTGACCATTAAGGTAGTAAAAATAACCTGCTTATTCTAGTACATCTTTATATTGACATAATATATCAAAATCAAGATTGTATTCAATGTAAATTGTTCATCACAAACTTTTAACAATTAAATAGGCACTTAAAAGAATTTAAGACACCTATGCTAGTCTAAGTACCCATGGCGATTAATAATATAATATTAGAAAAACAATTTTGCTTACAATTATTTATTTTTGAAATATGTATTATATGATTTATGATATTTTTATTCCTTTTTTTTAGAGCATTTTAATCAGTGAGACGTCTTATATTTTATAACAATAATATATTTTACAAACATATTATTTAAAATTATTTTATTATTATTATTTAATTATTATTTTTGTATATTATAATCTTTGTAATACTTAAAACTTTTAATTATTTTAAATTATTTGTACCTACACAAATTAGATTTGAATAACCAGTATTTTTAATCCTAAAATAATTATTGTATCCATTAAATATTTAGATCCATTAATATTTTTCTAATTATATCTATCAGATTTGAACATTTTAATCCATGAGTTTGGCTACCTTTAACAAAAAGTTTATTTTATCATTTTCTATACATGACAAAATATTTTGACAGGTTTTGATTTATCCATAGACATTTTCAATTCTATATAAATACCAATACATTTTTTATTAGCTGGGTCTTAGTGTATTACAAGTGTTTTCATAATTTTGTATAAAATATTAAAGATCCATATTAAACTGCAGTTGAGTAAATTACATATCATTATTTGGGTGCAAATTACAAACTCCCCAAATTGTATGTACAGAATTAATTTTAGTGTGTTATTTGTATTCTTAAATTAATTGAACCTGGCACAAATTTAAAGGTACCTAATTATATTATCCAGAGGTCAAGGCCCCCACTGTTCTTTTTTTATTGTTTAATTTTAAATAAAATCTTGAGTATTTTAAAGTTATTATTAATCGTGTAAAAAAAAACACTGAAAACCAGTCGTGGAGTATACCACGAACCTTATACAATATACAAAGCTTTAGTAAGTATAATTGATTTTTACAATTCTACAAACCGTAACACAGTTGAGTTACCATAATGGAGCCATAATTAGGAGAGGTTAGGATGGCAGCGGGCCCCAGGCCCTGACATAATTAGGGACACACTTATATTACTGTAATACAGTGATATTTGTTTTATTTACACCAATCTACATTAAATAATTGTTTATTGACTCGTAGTATATTTTTTTTATAATCTTGAAAAATAAAAGTTGAAGATTAAAAACCATACAGCAAACAAATGAATTATTATTATAATATTTAAGTTGAGAAGAAACTCCAAAAAAAAAATACCCCGAAATACCTAAGTAGGCCTCTCCGAATGTGATTTATATGTTAGATTCAACCATAGCCGTGTTTGGACTATAATATATACAGGTTACATAAAAACTTATTCGACATGTTACAAGGTGGTTTCTAATTATTGGATATTGGTTAACATTTTTTGTACCTAAGCAAATTACTAATAAGAAGAGTGCGGATTTTTATGCACTAACAAGTATCAAAATATTCCGTATAATATGCAGTCAAAGTTGTGAAAATGTGCAAGAAAACTATTTTTAATAGGGTAATAGTATGGTAAAAATAGCAATGTTTTAATTTGACGATAATTATTAACTATACAATTATGTGGTATTAAAATAATTTAAAACAAATTAATCAACTTATGATTTTAGGTACATCAAAATGGACTTATCTGACTTATTTTTATTTCAATTACTATTTATAGTGACTAAACAATTATTTCTGAATTTTCTACTCGCCAAAACTCAATATAACAGCTATAATCATTAAAATATATGCAGTTATAAGTAAAATACAAATCTGCTATAGGATTCAATCTATTATGATTCGTAAGGATTACTGACGAAAATCCAAAAATGTGGAAAGAAAAAATACATACAATTGCATAAGAATCCGGGGCCTGCTATGGCCATACAACAACAACAAAAGTAAATACAGGATACGGAGACAGTATCATCATAGTATAGCTATTAATCGAAGATTTAGTGAGCAATAATTAAAAACGTTTACTCACCTACTTGGTTGTCGAAGTCAAACTGTTAAAGTAATCGAACGGTGGTAAGACAGACACCTCATGGGGAAAAATCGTATATCCTATCACCCCACCATAAAATTGGTATAATACCGGACGTATCATCGATGATAAAAGCTTCGTGTGAAAGAGATCGCAGAAGTTTATACGACAGACAGATAGAGTAAGCAACGTCAAACGTTCCTTTAAGTATATTAAATATATAGATTAAATAAAAATAAATCGTTTGACCTATATTGAGTATCTACTTACCTATATAACCAAGGATAAGATAATAGTATTAAATTCTAAAATCATCACATGCCATCATATATATTATAGTTTTAAATTTCAGTTTTCGAGATACTGTAGGTACCTATATTTGTAATATTCACTTATACATGCACAATTTTTAAGTATGACACGGCACCATACAGGTACCATGGTATATGATATACACTGCTGGCACTGCACTTTATCGTGTGAATGACCCCGCTGGGTCTATAATATATTATCTATTCATTATAATTTATATTAATAAATTATTACCTTATACCTATGTGTAAATATGGCTATTACATTTAAACCAAAAAGTTTTCATGAATACTGTTTTCATTGTCGCTCATTGTCGAGTCTCCAATCCACCATAGATGGATTGATTATACTTAATATAGTAACTAAGACGCACGCTTGAAGTGACTGACTATTGATAGACTTTCAAATACGGTTTTAGACTTGACACCTTTTTAAATTCAAAACAGCATCGATGATCGATCATGCCGGTAAAGCACTATTGAGAATTGGTATAATATACCTTTTTAGCAATAAGATTGAGCATAAAATATTTATATGTAACGTTGCCACATTCAAGTTGCCGAATTTTTGTAATTTATTATTTTCAAGTAGGTATTATTACAATAATTATGAGGATACCAAACTTAAACGAGCAATGAGATGTGAGCTGAGCCCAAATTTATTGATAATATTATCGAAAAAATTATAATTTAAAAGCTATAAATATAATAGCTATAAAAAACTTTCGACCAGTATTTAAATCTTAAGAATACCCAATGTTTCTATTATAATATTATTTAAGCCAACTTGGAAACAGATACTAAAGTATATCAATTTAATTTATTACCTATTTTTATAAATTTAAAATCATCAAGTAGAATAATATACGTCTTTATTATTTTTACTACTATGATTATTATCAAACAGGTACATTATTAGATCTATGAAACAAAAAAAAATAACTCATCTTTGAGATCAACGACCCACTCTTTTTTTATAAGGAACACTGGCTGCTATCGAATAGCTTTTGGGAATAGCTGCTATCCTCAAACAGATATGTGTTGCTGAAAATATTTTTAGGATCTACCCACCTACAAAATATATCAATTAGAAAATACAAATTAGTTGATTAAAATTTTACGTCTGCCGTAATCGATAACTAGGGAGTATTAGTGAGTACGATAATTGTGCATGCTTTTAAGTTTCATAAATTATTATTAGTTGATAATAATAAATGATTGCCAATGTGCTACAAGTTGCAAATAATCACGAAATAGGAGCTTTCAACTTATTAATGTTAATCATTATAGTGTTTCTCGAAATTATCAGCTGTGAGTAAACATACAAGCACACCATTAATATCCAAATTATATAACAGGTATACAATGTATTTAAGTATTTTAATTTGTAATCTGTTAGAACGTCATGGGACATTGGCACATATTTTATTTAAAGTAACAATTATTATAATTTATAATAATATCCAAGATAAATACCGATGATAGTCGTCGGTCGATGACCCGTGCAGTGTGACTCTATAATTGTGAATTCGGTGGGCTTCCCCCGAGATACGATTGCTTGAGGTCATTAAAATATTTTACCTTTTATTAATTTTTATCGCAAAACATTATACATTTTTACCACATATTTTGGAAAAACATAATTTCACTAGTATAACACCAATTAAAATACAGACCCTATGCTTTAGAACTTAAATTTTAGGGCCTCAATCATGAAATGTCGGGAGTGGTGCTCAGGCACACCCTTCACCTCTCGTGCTTGCTGTCCTTATCGGCGGTATCATTTTAAACGTACGACTTCTAAGCACGGATTTCTATGGTAAATATTTATTACGTTGAATTGTATTTTATTATTTCCAAACACGGAGCTTCACTGATATAACAGTATAGATATAGTATTTATATTTATTCCTTATATTCTAGTTTAGAATGGAAGTCTGTGCTTCTAAACAACGATGCCACATATATAGGTGCACGATAAACATCTCCACGGATGATAAACTATTTTCTGATTATTTTGTAGAGACGTATATCAATGAACCTGGTTGATTATTATCCAACATTATATTTATCTGTAAGCAATATAGGTACGAAGTGTAGATATGTAAAGAATAAAAAGCCCAAAAATGTACTTAAGTAGGTATTTGACCATAGTTGGAAACATGTATTGGTTAAAAATGATTAAATGTAGTTGGTCCACTTTTTTATGTTGTGTTATTTAACGATATTTATTTTGTGAAACTTTTTTAGGCGTGGTAGCGTTAATCGGATTCATGAGTATAATAATTAGAAACTCTATGGCTCAGCCGTTGCGACCAAAAGCGGTACGGGCGTGGCTTAAGGCGTATTCACAGCTAGGTACCTACCTTGAGTGTCGCACCGTGTTGATCAAATCGCATTGTGATTGGACATTAATTTTTCGGTATCATGTAATAACCAAGTTGCGACCGAGTTTACCAAAAATTGACTACAAATTAACTTTTAAACCATATATTGGTTACCGGCTAGAGCCATATAGTTACCACTTACCACGATGAGTCGATACGATACGTCGTAATAAGATACCCATCTTAATTCGTGGTCAAGGCGTAGCTATGATTCCGGCTTTACTCGACAGGGTCCAATCAGACGATCGGATTTTGTCGGCCGGTCGCCATGTTATCATTTTAGCGCAGTAAATATGCCGGAGCCGTCGAGCTGGGAAACCTGACCGGCAGGAGGAATATATTGGCCATTGGGTGAGTTTTACTTTTTTGGGTAGGTATACGATTGCGCGCAGTGCCGGAATTACAAAGAACATGATTTTGACTAGGTATTCAAAGGCGAACGATTGCGAGTGAAATTGAATGCGATATTGCCAATTTTTTAATAGCGAATATAAATACATGTATTCAGAACTTCAGAAAGTACCATTTAAACACGTTTACTCAAATACTTTACAAGAATGATGTAATATAGAAAAAAATGTCACGTAGATCTAAGTCATAAAAGACAATAATTATTATTATTTAAGAAATATCGTCAAGTACACGTAAATATATAACTCAAAAGAAAAGTAAATATTATGAAGTATATATAAAATAAATAATTCAAAAGAGTGAACAATTGGGTACATTTTAAAGACTTCTATATTTCACAATTTATTTATAATATATTTAACTACAAAAGTGATATCTGCTTCAGCTGAGAAATAATTTTCAAAGGTTAAACTTATGAAAAATTATTTTCGTAACTCAATCGGACAAGATAGGTAGACTTTCCAGTGTTCTTAATAGGTACTCAAAGAAAACAAACTAACGTTATTGACTTGGAAAATATAATAGAACATTGTACCAACAAAAAGGCAAGAAAAGATTTTTTTTAATGAGGGAACATATTAGCTTATTTCTGTTCTTTTTTTTTCAATGTTTCTAATAGATATACCTTGGTGGCTAGGTAGTTGACTAATAATATGCAGAATGTTCATTTTTCTTTGATAATTTTCTATAGGTAGGTACCTATTCAAATTAATAAAAAAAAGGCTAAATATAATTAAATTTCTTTATTTGTAAATACATAGGTAAGCATATGTTTTAATTTGGTAAACCATATTTTGTTTGAGTAAAAACTTTAAATTCCAAGGAAACTTAGAAAAATTAGTTTTGTAATTAGATAATTCTTGGCATCTAAAGACGGGATAATAATCTATCGAGCAAGTTTGCTTATCAGTAGGTAGTCATGATTACGGTATCAGCGGGTATGAATACCGCATAGAAATGATAACGGTAGCCGGCCGGCGGAACGTCGTGTCTACGTGAAAAAGGAAAATAATTAATAATTTCATTAAATATTATTATTTATTATAGTTTCATACCGGACGTGTGGCCTTAGAGCTTTACTTTTAATACGTTCTCACCATAAAATTTTTGTAACCAAGATTTGCTACAGAGTACAGGTAAAGTACATATAAAATATTACAAATTTAATGATCTTATAATTTAATAATATGAATATTATGTATTTTAATTCCTCTTAATGCTATATTTTATGTTTGTACATTGAGTATGGGCATACAGGTTTGCTTGAATTTTTGCAAAAGATCAATGCACTCAAACCCATTTAAAATTCCTACATAATAATATGACACTCTTCAATGTATTGAACAAGAACCTACAAAAAAATTAATGATTTCAAAAGGCATCAATAAAGAACAAAGTACTTATTTTCAAATGTATTTAAATGTAGTTTTTTATTATCTCAATGTCCAAAATAATTGATTAGAAACCGAAAATTATATCTATTAGGTAGGTACCTACCTACTGAATATGTTACCTATTTGAAATTTCTATAATTTTCCACTATATTATTTTTTAATTGAACCACAGGGCGTACAAATAAATAAATATAGGAGATCAGAAGAATTGTTTAGATATCTGTAGGTTTGTACAAAGTTAAGAGATAAATAACATACTTAGTGACATCATTTTAAAAATCTTCAAAATTCCCAGTTGGATTCTATTGTTTTAGAATAATAATAATAATAATATAGTATACCTATGGTAAATAATGACAGTTAATTTGTATAAAGCTAAAAATTGTATTTCATTAAATTAGGTTAGCTTGACCATATTTAGATATTAATTAAAATAATAAGACTGACAGTTTTAATAATAACTCTAAAAAAAAGACTTTCTCAAAATTTGTAATTTTTATATTATGAAATCACGCTTTGTGTACCTCTTGGCTCTTTGATATGAGGTGCCTATGTTGTTGGAAAGGGTGATAGTTGTTCTGGCTTATAATACATTTCTCTGTGCAATATAACATTTCTTATGCTCATCACTCTCATAATAATGTTTGAAAACACTTGTTACTTTGATTCCAATTTAAAACTGATTATCCCCTTCAAAGCTTCTTCGAACAACAAGAAATGGTGTTCTCAAAAATGATCTTGTTTAAATTTGAAAAATGGTCATGTGGTTTCCTTAGATTAGGTACATAATACATATTTAATGAATATCCATACATTAATTTTTTTTCGACATAATTTCAAAATAATTGTATTTAATTGTATTACCGCTATCAAGAATCTGATGTTAAATTTTTAAATGTGAATTAGGTACTTATCTATGAAATTTTTTTTTAAATTTTTTACAGAAAAACACATTTTAAGTTTTTGTGTTCATGACAAATTTTATTAAAATTTCAACTTAAGATGCTCATGAAAAACTATTGTGAATTTACAAAGTTTAAAGTTTCTTTATTAATTTAAGTTGTAAATGCAACTAAAAAATACAAAATATACAGGTAACTTTTTGTGTTAAGCTTTTGTAAGTTCAAGTTTTAACAAAAGTATTATTTGTAGGTTTCTAAAAATTCATAACATTTTAATTTTAATATCTAAGGTTTAAAAATTAAATTTAATATTTCTTATTAGTTGTTATTATTAATTTAAAAAAAAAATTGGTTTAGTGAAAGACACATTAACATAAGTGTTTGAAATATTGTTGAAATTTGATATTCAAATGAAAATATTTCTCTTCAACTAAAATTTTTGTAATTTTGTTGTAACTCAAATAAAATAAATTGTAAAAACTTAAAACATTCCATCATTACTTGAGTTATGACTTTCTAGTTTCTATGCTCAAAGGTGAAGAAATGTTTTAGCTATGTACATAAAAAAGTCATTAAACTTTATAAAAAATAAATCACAAAATGGATAGGTATTATTTATAATTTAATATTCAATGTTTTTGTGACAAAGTAGTTCAACCTGCCAAATCACTAATTGAAAAATAAATTACTAATAATTATGGAAATAAAGACACAGTACTGTTCAAATTTGTTTTTGTACCTATTTGCTATGCAATGATACATCATATATGTTACACTGATCTACTCATTAACAAGATACGATCAAAACCTACTATATACCAGAGCAAATTTCCTCCTTTTTTAAAAATGTTTCTGTAAAACTATATTTTTTACATTATTAGTTAATAGTACTTAATAGTCAAACTATAGTCTATTGGCAGGATTAACAAATCTTAGAAATTATCTAGGATCATGCAACCAACCTATATTTGTATGAAGCCATTTTGTTGCAAAAATGTTTATTGAATCTTTAGCTATTATTATTGTTTATCAATTTTTAATAACATCATTCTTATTGAAATATTTATTTACTTATTATTTGTTACTTTCAGAATATAACGGTCATAATGGATTTAAGCGATGATGAAGATTTTTATGACTCTGATCAGAGTGATGTGGGCGAACAAAGCTTACATACTATGCTCATTAAAACCCTTTATGATAAAGATAATGCATATGAAGAATATGTAGAACAAATAGCTGGTGAAGAAGAAGCTTTGGATAGTGTGCAAGAGGAATTACTTGGCAAAGTGACAGATGATGGTGTTCAAGAAGAATTTGCCATAGGTCCAGTATATAGCGAGAAAGAAGATACAAATGAGAATAAAAAGTCAAAAGAGCTAGATTCAATATTTGTGAAAAAATTAGAAAATGCTGAAAAAGTAGTTTTAACACCAGAAGTTATAGGCGAGTTAGAAAGAAAACATTTTTTCGATGTACTTGATGATGATAATTTTGAACCAATAAAAAAAAAAAAAAAATTAAACAATGGCAATAGTAATAATGCAAATCCTCATAAAACTATTATAATGCATATACCTCGTTTCATTCGATGTAACAAAATTAGTCAATCTATTCAAGTTCAGTGAGTTGTGGCTTATGAAAATAATTGAATTGTTAAAGCATTATTTATTATTCAAAGTTGTATTAAGTTATAATTTTTTATTATTGCAGAAATATTGTATGCGGTGCAAACATGGGATGTCCTTTAGACTTGTTAAGAATAGTGATGTGGACTAGTAACTCTGAGTATAATCCATTGCGATTTAATGGACTAATTATGCGTCTTCGTACTCCTAATGTCACCAGTCTATTATTTCCATCAGGCAAAATGATCATGCAAGGCGCTAAAGATGATCAAACTGGAAATATAGGATGTCGAAAAGTAGCCAAAATTTTAGAGCAACTTGGACACAATGTTAGTTATATAATATTATGTACCTCTTATAATATTACTGTGCTTTATCATAACTAACATTAATTTATATATATATATTGCATTATGTAGATACAATTTTGTGATTATACGGTACATAATATTGTATGTACATGGGATGTTGGTTTTCCAATAATGTTGGAAGAATTAAATACTGCTCACTCACAATTTACCAGGTACTTTCATTTTGTTCATAAATATTGTCTTTTTTTTTAAATTTGTATAAACCTTCTTAATTTAAAATTAAAAATCTAATCTTAAATATATAATATCTTACTTCTATTAATAAATATTAAAAGTAAATTACAATTTTTAAATTTGCTTGAAGAATCAAGTCCTAAATATAGTATTTTTATGACTGTTATTTTTCATAATACTCTGAATAAAACTTAAAATATTATAAGCAATAAAAAAAAAGTATGTTTTACACAAACATTCCTTAAGAATATTCTATGAATAAATGGATTCTTATTTAATTTTATGTACTTACTTGAACAAAATGTAATTAAATAATATAAAAATATATATTTGTGTTTAGCTTTGAACCAGAAGTATTTCCTGCATTAATTTATCGGATGGTCAGACCTCGAGCAGTGTTTTTAATGTTTGTAAACGGAAAAGTAGTTTTGACAGGTAATATTTCATTTAAACATTTAAATAACTGTATATCTTTATGTTATTATAGTATGAGAAAAAATTTGTTCACATAGTATGGGAAGGAATTTATAATAACTCAATAGTCACTAGTAAGGTTCTTGAAGCTAATGTTTGAGTGGGACTCGGAATTTATGGCACTAAAAAGTAAAAAGTAAAAAGTGCTCTAACTAATATGTCCTAAATATATAAAAATATGAACAAAAAAGTTTGTTTTAAATTCATTATTATTCATTAGTTTATTATTCCTTTGGTGTACTACATTTAAGATTAAAAAAAAAAATTTTTAAAAAAAACATCAAGTATCTACTTTAAATACAAATTACCAAAATTAGCACCAAAACTGAGATATTGCATAAATTTCTAATATCAATATCTATGTTAAAACATGCAGTATAAAATGTTCTATGAAACAAATGTATTGCTTTCTCTGAATTTTAACAAATATTATACAATCCAAGTAATAATAATTTTAAGTACTTATCTCCATTTTCTTAGTATTTCATACTATACAAATTTCTAGGTGATTCTTTGAATTTCAATACCCATTATTTTGAAAAGTATTAATTTGAGACATTATTTGATATTTTGTTTTTGGGTAATTTATGATAAATGTAATTACCATTTGATATTGATTATTTACCATATTTTTTTTACGCTTATAATTATTGTTCATAAGACTATCAACTTAAAAGTTTCGATTGCTTGCATACATTTTAAATTTTATAATTGAAATCAAAATATTTTTGAAAACACTTTTGTGTATAAATAAAAATTATTTAGTACTGAATAAATAGTTTTATTTGTAATCTTTTTTACTATAGATAAGAAGAGTAAACTGATGAAAGATATTTAAAAACAATTTATGGTTCACTACTTTACTCATACAAACGTCAAATAATTATAAATAAAAAAGATTTATTAATAATTTTTTTAAATTGTTAAATTGTATGGAATTAAAATTATAACTGGCCAATTATTATTGGTAGCAGTTTCACCAACAAACACAAAGACGAACAATTAAAGGCAATGTAATATTTTACAATCGCTGTACCTTAAATTAATAAAAAAAAAATTAATATTGTAAAAATAAATAACCTGTTTAAGTGATGTTATATTATTTTATAAGGTTTTGTCTAATGTCATAATGTGTTTCACTCTAATATTGATTAATAATTATATTAATAATATATTTGTTTCAGGTCTCAAAACAAAATCAGATATAAAAGAATCTATCTTTTTGATGCAAGATGTACTGAACAATTTTCGAAAAACTTGACTTGAATTTTAATTTTTAAGTTAGCCTTTTTAATTATTGAAATATACAAATTTAGTTATTTAATAAACTTAAGTCTTAAATATTACATATATATGTATATAAATAATTAGTTGTTTTTTTAATAGAAAATTATAACCATTATTGTTCCTTCATATTAATCCATTTACCCATGCCAATTTCTTCATTTTAAATAAAAATATGCCTAAAAACATATATAATGTATGTACATTATGCAAATTCTATTTTTGGGTTAAGATCTTAGCAAGAAGTTGCATGAGAACTAAATTCATTTAACTCCATTTTAAAACTATGGTTTTCTTTGATAAATAAGTGGTTTTAAAATCTAAAATTTGAGAAAAATGTCCCAAATTGTACAAAAACTATTAAAAAAATGACCTAGAAATATTAAAAAAAAATTATTGTATAAAACATAGAAATGCATTTATTACTAAAAATGTGAAATAAAATTAGTTTCTGTATTAAGGGAGAATGAAACACTTTAGCCAAGATACAATTTTATATAATCTGGTCAGTGTCCATTGCTACCAAAATTTGTCCGTTTTCTCGCATTTACGGAGGCAACTATAGGTGAGTTAGAGAAATTTGGGTACGAAATCGCAGAGCTCAATAATTTGGATGCGCGAAGGAGTAGCGCTGTCTCAGTTTCGGAGTATTGGATTAAAAGAAAAAAATACGAAATTTATCAACATCCTATCTGTATTAATAAGTTATTGTTAGTGTCAAGATTAAAAAAAAGCTGAAGATGAGCCACTGACCGATGACTACTCAATGAGTCGCCTGCCTATTGCACTATATTGCCCGGAGATTTTTCAGGTAACTGTGCAACTGACAAATCTTTATTGGTTGCTTACCAACACTGCCGTTGTTAATTAATATTTTGGCCAATATTTGTATGGTTGAAATAAAATTTAAAATACTGTTAGATATCAAGGCTGACTATTGTTATTGATATTGACGTTAAATATTAGAAAATTGAATACGCTTATTGTCTCGTTTATTAAATATATATTTTTATTTAGTTGCAGGGGAACACAGTGGTTAAAAAACAAAATTAGCGAATTATAAATAAAAGAATATTACAGCCTACAGGCAGGTATCTAAATTACTTAAAATATTTAATGCAATATTGCCTAATACTTTTAGTCACGTAGAATAAACTACACGCGGTTTACTATAGTTAAAATTAATTAATCGAAGTTGGTACCTATTGCACTACTTTATAGTATTTTCAAATTAAAAAAAACCAGATATTTAAAAATTAGGCCAATGCTATTGGCTATGGTTAGGTGACATTTACTTCATCTCTTTGAAAATATCGAAAATTACATTTACAAGTTTTTCGACTAAAATTTTTTTATTGACTTTAGTTTAGAAAAAACAAATAATAATCGAAAATTTTATATGCCTATTATAAGTTCAATACAAGTCAAAATATTTTGAACATTTTATGGTGTATATAAAATGCTAACACTCAGTGAAAATGTCATGTATTTAAGGCCATTTTTGTTAGAGTTACGCTAAAAAGTAAAAACCAAAATAGAATTTTTCGAAAACTGGCAAAAATTTCCCCGTTTTTTCTTAATTTTTGTTTGTTTTTCCTGTTGCTTTTGAAAACTATTGGGAATATTAAATTTTGATCTCCCGAACGCACCAATTAGATTCACCAGAAAAGTTGTTGTTGAAAAAAATCGAAGCTCTTTTACTGCTCGAAACCGTGATAACAGACACACACAAAAAAAAATAAATTTAAATATAAAAACACTCATCATTGTAAAATCAATACATCCATCACTCCTCTCAGAATGTAATATTAGGTACGTATTTAGTAACAATAACAAAAACTGATAATTATTATAATAACAACAGTGATAAATGATAATACATAATAATTTACTACGTTGTTGCAATACTATATTTCCGGTGAGGGTTTTTTGTTTAGTTAACAAATGGTAACATTTTAAAACCTAAAACTCTCCTAGGTGTGTGACTTTAAAAATTGAAAAAACTTAGTAGGTAGGTGTGTGATAATTTTTAAAATTTAAACCTTTCATAGGCACTATTTTTATTAAATTTCTAATATTAAATATTAAATGTGTTAGGTTATAATACAGTCGAACCTGGTTAGAATATATTTATTTACAATGAAAGATTTTTCCTGGACGTTTTTCTTGCTACAATAGTATAATAGATATTATAATAATCTTTATTTTTAAAAATCTCCTCATTTGTTTTTATTTTGTATTTATTCTTGAAGTATATTGGATATTTTTTGATCATATTATAATTTATATTGTGCAGTCGTATTATTGGAGAAGTTTGGCTTTTATCGTCCAGAATAATAAAATAATACATTCGTATATTATTATAGCTAAGTACAATATATACCTACATTACGTAATATAAACAAAACGGATAACAATTTTAATTTTAATTCATTTTAAAAGCCTCAAATATGTTGTAATTAAATCTTATCAAGAGGTCACCAATTATTATTAATGTTTTAATATGATTTAATTATAATATGGTTAATATGACTAATGCATGATATTGTCAGTAAGAAACGAAATTAAATTATATTTCTCTACATCTATTATACCTAGTTTCTGTTCGATGAGTACTTTGTTACCCGTATATTTAATTGTGTGTAGTGTTGGATATTATAACTATACCTATTCATTAAAATAGTTGTATAACTCATAGGTTTTGTAATTTTTATTGTATTTTTGACATTAAATATCTACTAAAAATGAATTTATACTCATAATAGATGTTAAGAAAACAAAAATGATTTAATTATAATAACTATAGGTAGGTACATAGGTACCTTTCAATTTTTTTTAACATTGTGAGTACCTACCTAACTTGAATAATGTTTTGTTGTGTTTGGTTGTTTTCAGTTATCATTCACATTCATCAGACATCATTTTACATTCATCAATTGAACCAAAAATGTTACCAATGCGTATTCGGGTAAATAAACGCACGCTGCGAATGAAATTACATTATTTTCTTTATTTGGGCGGTAAGTAACAACAATTAAATATGTATATTGCATTATTACTGGTATTATTTAAACTGTAATATCTTAAAATTAAAACGTTAAATTTGTATAACCAAAAATATTTCTAACTGAACATTTACATAGGTACTATATATTGCTGTATTAGCCATTTTAAAAGATATTCTTTAAAAGTATTCAAGTACATATAAGTATCTGTATTTTGAATAGTGTTTAAAATATGCATTTTAATCCTCAGTAAAAAAATATTTATGGATACTTTTAAATACTTTCATTTTTTATATAAGATATTTGTTTACCTTATTAGTCAACTCATGTTTACATTTAATCCATTCAGCTTTTTTACAGTATAATTTAGTGTAACTATTAAATTATTTTCATCTGTTTACTTTGACAGAGTATCTGCATTTTTAGTTGTGTATAATTCAGAATAAAAAATTAAGTTTTTGAAAATTAGTGTTTTTATTTAAACAGATAGGTGCTTTGAGAAAGTATTTAAGATTTTTTGTCCAAGTATTTTTTTCAAAAGTATTCAAATACTTTTGCTCAAATACTTTACAAGAATTATTTTATATGAGCTTTTGCATGGCTTATATTTATTATTTGTAGGGCAGGTACCTAAGTAGACACGTTTATAGCAATATAATACAATCCATGATTTTTTACAATATTAAAAAATAGAAGAATCATTCATGTTAAAATTATTGTTGTATATTTTGCATAATGTACGTGTACAATACAATACGCATTATAATTTATAATATGATAATAAAACTTTTTTTTCATTGACATTTTGTACCTTACATATCCACTTACGATTTTTACATATTTATTTAATGCCTACTTTAAATGACTTCAGACTTTCTATTATTATTTATTTCTACAGGTGTTGCATCAGTTCAAGGATTTGCGCCTACAATAGCGAAGCAATTGGGTTATTCGCCGATGGTAGTTGGTTCTGTTTTCACATATTTGTCCATGTTATCCTTTGTCGCAAAACCCATCATAGGAATTATCGTTGATAAATTTCGAGTCAAAAGAGTTATGTTTCTTACATTTGTTTTGTTAAATGGTCTTACGGCGTTTTCTCTACAATTTATCCAGAAAGTACCCACAGAAGCTGTGGCGAATTTAAGTTGTGACACAACAACAGTATTAAACGTTTGTTCAAACAATGACGACCGGTTGTCTCAATGTGATGACAGTCTATTTAAGCTTTTACGAAATAGCGAAGAACCAGTTGAATGTCAAGTACGTTATATAATATTGATAAAATGTAATTGAAACAGTGTTAACTGTTAAGGAGATTGCAAATTTGCAAACTGTCAATTATTTCAACCAAAATGTACCGATTGTTTATCATTGACGGACTCATAGTAATGTGATCGTACTTATATTTATTTTTCTTACACTAAAGTCACTCACACACTGTCTAATGGTTACTTACTATGTACATATTATTATTTAAAAGACTCATATGCATGCAATTTTAAAAATTGAACTCCTCAAAAACTGTTAATTCGTAATCTCCTTTAGAGGACGCCACATAATCCACATGTGTTGGTCTCCATCTTAGAAACGTACAACATGGCAAATTTTACGTTCACTTCAATAATACAATTAACTCTGTAATTTCTAAAATTAGAATATGAGTTATAAGTACCTATTTTAAAATTGTAAGTTTTTTGTACATCTTAAAATACTCATAGCTCACTTCAAAATTAAAATATAATAAAAAGCCTCTGAGTAAGGCTCTATATATAATGGGTATATCTTATGCCACAATTTTGAGACTCATTTATCAATATAAAAATGATAATATAAACGCAGGAAATTTCATATTCACTGTGATAAATGAGTGGCAAAATGGCGGCGTAAACACACCTATTTGCTAAAGTGCTCTATTCTGAGATGCCTTAGATAATAATCTTGCCATTAAATTTTATAAGAGGTAATTTCACTCTCATTTTAGAAATTACAGAGAAAAATGTATTATTGTGAACTTAACATGTTGCAAAATTTACTAACGCATATTATACCAAAATGTACATCCAGTAGTCAAACTGTGTAAAGCATTTTTAAATATGTATTAATATTTTACAAACTCATAACTCACTTAAATAAAAAAAAAACGAGAGATCATAGATAATGTTCTATGAATTTAAGTTTGATGATAATTAATAGACCAATGAACTCTAATATTTAAGCTAACAATATACAATTAGAACTGCAGGACGCATATATTGGTTTATTATGAGTTAGTAAGATGGAGACAACACACGCGAGTACGACAGACATTCTCTTAATATATTATGCCTACCCCGAATGGTTTTTTTTATTAAATTATACTGTAGAATAAGTATAGGTAATAATAGAAAATAAAATACAATTAAAAATAACTATTTATAATAATATATACTTTAATATATTTAATAATTTGTAATCGATGGGTACCGGTGGCGGTCAAATTATTTTTTCATGGGTTTGTCGGGGGTGGCTGATTATTTAACATGCATTACTTAATCATTAAAATATAATTTATGGTTATTCATATTATCAACTTTTTTAATTAAGGTAAATTTGTACTCTATTTATAACAATATTTGTATTAAATTATTAAATCTAACTAAATATTAATAATAATGACAGTATTGTCTTAGAATGAGTCTAGAATCTAGATAATAATAAACAGCGTTGTTTTGAGAAAAAATAAAACAATATTCATGCATTAACATTATAGTACAATATTCAAAAATATTATTGTTATAAATATATTAAAGAAAAAAAGATCATGGCCCATGGGGGATCTATCCCCCTTATCCTCCCCCGTTTGACCGCCACTGATAGGTACCTATACTACTTTCATAATTATCTATTACATATTTTTGAAATTCAATATATATAATATATATGTATAATACGTGCATTTACACTATTTAGATTAATCTCATAATTATATTTGTATTAAGCAATTTGTATTTTATGAATAGTTTAGAATATTTATCTGATAAAAGTTATATGTAAATTGTACTTATTGTAACTATACCTACTGGCTACTAAACCTTCAAATGGTTTTGTTAACATTGATATTAATTTATATGTATTATATTATTTATGATATATTAAGAGGCCTAAAAACAATATATTTTAACGCTCGTTAAAAATAATTAATTAAGACATTTTATAAATCTTCAAAGCTAATTTGAAAATTAAATAGTATCCGTATAATAGTCCCATAAAAATGTACATTTGACTCTTAGATACATAATTTTAACCTACGATGCCTTATAGCCAGCTTATAATTATTTGATAATCTAAATTGTTGATAACTTGTGAATGACTTTTACGACAAAATATAGTTTCCACCTATAGATAAAAACATCATTATTTAATAGGTATTTAACTGATTAATTAAAATGTGTTTTGTCAAAATTTTTATCAGTTACTCTGTGAACAAAACGAATCGTTTCGGGAAGTAATCGATAGATCTTGGAATATCATTGACTATAATATAGCTCCAAATGTCACGTATAAAAACGATGAATTTGAGGATCTCGATGTAATTTTAACTATCAATTCGACAGATCAGGTAAAATATTTCAATTTTTAGCTGTCCCGGACGTTACAACCTATATATCTCGAGACTTCGAGTAGACTTTTAAGTATATATTTTATATTTATAATGACGTTTCGTGCATTACTTTGTGCTTAGATCAAACAGAACTATGTTTTTCAAGTGAAATCTGTACACATCATGAAAACACATGTTGCATTTCCAGTCTGTCGGAGACCAGTGACTACTCGGTGCAACATTGACTGCTCAAACGATGTTTTAATGGAATTAGCCACTATTCAAAAGTTCGAAGGAAGTGTTTTTGGCTTAAATCAGTTCTGGAAATATTTAATTGTTATGAGCTTATTTTGGATTAGCCAAGCAATCACTTGGAGTCTACAAGACCCCATATGCTTTGATATTTTAGGTGAGTGGCTCGAAACATCTAATTAATTAATTTTTCTTTGTGTCACCAATAAATATTTGTGTCGAATTTCTGATCTGACCTCAAAATAAAAAAAGCTTTATATTGTAAGATAATTTACTATACTATAGGTATGTCTATAAAATAGTATAATACTGGTTAGCTGCTATCAAATAATTAATTCACTGATAGAAATTATAAAAACAAAAATATAATTTATAAATTGTGTATGGAATTTATCTTTAGCTTAAAATCTAGATATTTTCGAATAATTTGATATTTGCACGTTGATAACTTTCAAATATTAATAAACCAAATTAAAGATTTAAATTAGAACACTTATTATTCAAATTTTAAGTCAAGTATTTATTGAATTTTTTTAATTTAAAATTTGCTTTAAAATTTTTCTGAACAATTTTTCTTCTTAAATATTAATTATTAATTAAGTATTGCATTAAGAATAAATCATAATCAGTGGTATGTGGTAATATTGTGTGAGGGCATTATAGTTAATAAATTAAAGTCAGTTGTATCAGTTGTACCACTTGTACCTACGTCAAATCAAATATATCGTATAGTACATTGGTACCTAGCTAAATAATAATTAAACATAAATTGGACATCTCCCATTTGCGCCAAAATATTAATTCGTTTTGGGTACAGCCCATTTGTGACAAAATAAAAAAAGGTTTATTTTTTCAGACATCCCATTTGCGCCAAATTTACCTACGTAAACATTTTAAATTAACGACTTGGTTAATTCTTATATTTTAAAGACGTCATGTCTGTAACTTATAGTAAAAAATATGTAAGTAATATTTACTATTATTACTTATTTTTTATAAAGTATAATAGTTCATAATAATTTATTACCTATAGTTTTTAAAAACAATTTGTATTTATTCTGATTATTGTTTCAAAAAAATGTATTTTATACGGCTGTAGTTGATTATTATTTTAAAAACATTCTTATAATTAATTATGGTTTAAATAAAATTGTATATAATAAAAAATATATTACTTTATTATAATTATACCAGGTAAATTTGAAGCAAGTGGGAAGTCCGAAAAAAGTAAAAACATATCTTTTTTTATTTTGGCACAAATGGGCTATACCCAAAACGAATTCATTTTTTTTGGTGCAAATGGATAACATCCCATAAATTCAATATATGTACCTATTGGTTATTATGGTATATGTTTCTATACCCATAGAATAGATAGTATATAGGTACCTACCTATACTAATAGATTTTAATTAATTGGCCTTTATTTCATTAGAATTTATTAATTTCATTTTTATTGGTAATACCTGGTTTATACTAATCGTATTTTGTTCCTATACTTGATTATTCTATCAATGTTAATCAATAGAAGATAAACCCGAAGACTTTGGAAAACAAAGGTGTTGGGGCTCCATAAGTTGGGGACTTTTCTCAGTTTTTGGCGGCGTACTGGTCGATTATTTCAGTAATAGTGATTATCAAAAAAACTACGTTCCAATTTATTGTCTTTGTCTTGTAATCATACTATGGGACTTTGCAGTAGCGTACAAAATAAAAGTAAGTTTTTCGCATGAATTACATTGAATACAAATTCAGGAATATAAAATAATACAACATTGAGTATGTACAGTTGCACTATTGTGGAGTGTCGACTGTTGGTATTATATAAATATATAATTGTTTAAAATGTTTGAATTATATTTTTAAGATAACTGAGACCGTTGGGTCTAAGGATACATTTTCCGACGTATTCAAATTAATAACTAATTTTAATGTCATAATCTATTTGATATGGATCATAGTGATGGGAATTTGTACGACGATGCCATGGAATTATCTATTTTGGTAGGTAAAAATGTAAGATAATAATGTTTTAGTATTTGTACAACGTTGAATGTTAACACAATGGTAATATGGTAAACGATTTTATTTAAAATCAAGTTTTTCGTCAATATAGACAGCGACAATTTTTTTCTTTATATATATAAATTGAAAATATTTGGAAATTGTGTTTCTTGAACTAAAAAGATTACCTAGTAAAAATAATATACCTAATGATCACTGACAAAAATAGGCAGTCCGTTATTATTTGTTATTTTGTATCGACCTGTTTAGGCTAGTTCTGGGTTGGCAGTAGCCTCATTTACCATAGGATAATCATTAACCTTACTATTTACATTTCAAGATATATAAACTGGAATATTTTATAAATTTATTAGATAACTACTGTATCTATAACTACAAAATAATAAACTGACTAAGTTTATCAAAATTTAAACTTCAACTCTTATAAAAACAATCATGCTTATACATTTTAAATATTTTTGAATTTCTATAAGAAAACTTGTGTTTTCTTAATTTTTGACTTGATTTTATAACTATCCACTAATAGGTAGGTAATCTAAATTAAATACAATTTTCTGAAAATACAAAATACCATAGGTCTAATTATGTGCAACACCAATTATTATGAGAACCAACTAATCTTAAGAATAATGAGTACGACATAGATCGATAACTAATAATTTTTTTAGTGTTTTGATATTTATGTAGGTATTAATTGTTGTTATTATATTTTAAGAGTGGGGCAGAAGACTTTTAGCATTTACATATATGTTTTACACGGTCACGAAAATTGCAGAGTACGAAACACATACGTTTCACGTTTTTTTCAAAGCAAGATTTGAAATTTGATTTTGCATAAATGTATATAAATACATATTTTAAGGTTTATTTTTATTTTTAGGGCATATTTCTTTGATTTGTATACATTTTGTGATATATTTTTAACTAATTAATAATTTTATCAATTTATTCTCTACTGATATTTTTATTTTAAATAATACAACCAAAACATAAATTTATTTTTGATTTTTGCCGTTTAATATGGTTTTTGACTGGCCTAAGCATATGTTTTTCTTAGAATTCTGATAATTTTATAAATTATATGAATTTACAAATTATTGCAACATTGAATACTTAAAAGTTGTAAAATTTGGTTGTAACAAATAAAACTAATTCAAAATAATAAATTTAGTTGAATAAAGTATAAAAAATAAATAAAAATATTCTTGATTTTCTTACCTATCAAATACAAATACAATCGATTTTAGTAAAAGAAAATGTATCCATACGCTTTAAGATTTTTTAAAACAGCATTTTTTGCTTTTAGGTACATGGAGGATTTAACCCGAAAGTATCACAGTGATAAGCAATCGTGGACCAAAACTTTACAAGGTTTTGCTATAGGAATTCAATGTATCGGCGGTGAAGTTCCGTTCTTATTTTATTCCGGTTGGTTGATCAAACGCATTGGACACACGTATTGCATGGCCTTAGGTCTTTTCACTTTTGCTCTTAGATTCTATCTGTACTCTGTGATTACTAACCCTATTTGGATACTGCCGGTCGAGTTCACCAACGGTATTACATTTGGATTGTGTCATGCTGTCTTGTTAGCATATGCTAGATTTATTGCTCCACAGAGTTCCTCCACGACAGTAGTAGCATTATCTGGAGCGCTATTCGAAGGTGTTGGTAAGTATATATATGCTTCACTGAATTACAACAAAATGAAAAATGTTATTCTTTGCGTAAATAGAATTTTTAGATTTTCTAGTAACGAAAAAAAACTGCTTAAGTGGACTAAATTGTTTTAAATTTTCAATCCTTAGCTATAAAAATTGAAAATTTTTTGTCAACATTTGAACAGTAAATGCTTATAAAAGAAATCTTGATTATGTATTTTTAATATTTTTTAACTGCTATTGTAACAATATATCAAGAGTTTTGTATTAAATTTTCATGCTTTTTGAGTCAACCAATAGAATTTTATTAACATTTATAGAAGAAAAATAATGAAAATTGAAAATAACCGTCAAAACGAGTCAAAATATTTTGAAAATTTTATGAAGTGGATGAATTTATGAAATAAACATATTATGGTGTACATTTAAGTGTCTAAAATAATTAGTCTTTGAATTACAACAAGATAAGAAAACCTCTACATGAGAAATCGAGTGAATAACCAATGTGTAAAACTTTCAACTTCAAAAGCTCATAAAAATTTAATTTGACTTTCCGTTAGAATTTGTTTTTGATAAACGTAGACAAACTTATAAGGAATCCCGTACTCACCCTAGTGGCTCGTGAACCGTATGAGGTCCAATCTGTTGTTAGCCTACACCATGAAATTGTAAATATAATATATTACCTTTATAAATAATTTTTAGCTATTTTTTACTTCATAAAAATAGGCGTCATTAATTCTAGTGCTCCAAAATGAGCCACTTCAAAAAATGTTCAGCCTTACTTCTTGATGTTTGAAAATTTATTTTGTGCACTTACTATTGTATGTTTTATACTAGAGAATTATGGTTTTATGTAAATACTTATACACAAAAATAACGAGCTTCAGTATTTAACTGAGAAGAATTTTGTAAAGCTCTGATTTACAAAAAAATGTGCAATCTATTATTTTATTGTTCATTAAAAATGACTTGTTGGTTAACTAACTTATTCATACATTTTTTTCCAACTGAAGAAAATTGAATTATAAATTTCATTCTATTTTTAAATATCTGTTTGTTAAAATATGTGAATATTATAATTGCTATTTTTTTTAAATTTCATTTTCCAGGTACATCTATTGGTGGTTTAGTCGGTGGATTTTTGTACCAAACATATGGAGGAAAGCAGACATTTAAATTATTTTCATATGGCTCATTAATAATGGGCATTCTCCATGTAATATTTATTAAATTAAATAATAAGTCGATTAATGGGAAAACCTAGAAATATAAAAAAAACCAGTGTTTGATAAATATCCTATTTGCTTTAAAATGAAAATGTGAATAATTTGATAAACAACAAAAAAAAAAAAATTTATTTATAAAATGATTTGTGTTTCTGCACCCCTTTATAGTGGCATAGTGTACTGAACAAGAAAAAAATTACTTGATTATTTATTTTTCTGGAAACCTCAATTTTTAAAATGATTTTTACACTGCCGCAGAAATAATTTCAAAATAAAACTGACATGTAAAAATGAAATTAAAAATGTCAATAATTGATTTTTAATTTTGAGATGTTGAAATTCGTTCTTAAGTATAGATATAAACAATTTGGAAATTGTATAAGAAAATTACTCGATGACAACATTTGGCCCCAAAGTTATGATTGCTTGTTATCGTTCTATATTTCTTCAAAAATATATTTTCAGTATTAATATTTATTTTTACTTTCAATAATGTCTTTATTCTATTGTTGATATTATATTTTGAAATAAATGTTCATCTTTTTAGGTTGAACTATTAAGTTATAAGATACTTAAAAGTATTTATCAAATATTTTTAAGAGAAAATAGTATGTACATTCTGGGTATTTTATTTGCTAAGTTATGTTAAGGTACTTAAGCTTAAAACAAAATAATAGTGTTAAAAATTAAAATTACTGATTGCATATTATTTATAGTTTTAACTTGTAAGTAATAAATTTTCTAAATAATATTCTTATATTAATGTAAAAAATAATAATTATAGTATTTTAAATTACAATATGTATTAGATTATTATTTTTATTATTTTAGTACAATGTTTAATATTATTCAATTATGTAACCAGTAGACCAATTACCGTCAATAATGAATCATATTATTAAAGTGTTAAAGTTTTGATGTTTATAAAATGTATAGTGTAATATATAAAAGATTGTGGGTACAATAAAAATTATAATTTAAGTAAAAAGTGTATGTTCCAAGTCTTTGCGATTTGTAGTCTTTGAATTAACCTAGGGGCTGTCGGGTAAAGAAACTCTCAGTAGAGTGTATTATCGAGCATGTGCCTGTGTTTTTATATTATGTGCTGTTAAAATTTTGTTTCTACTTCAAGACCTACTCAATGTAGTGTACTGCATAAAAAACAAATCGATGATTTTTCTTTTCAAGTAAAAACCACAAATATTAAATGTCTATAATTTTGAAACTAAAGATTTCTGATTTCACTTACAATTATCATCTGTCGCTGTGTTAGGTCCACAATCTACCACAGGTGGTTTGCCTACTTCATAATAATATACTGCTCGCATATTGTCTGCGATCCGATATTTGCACTTGAATCGATTTTCACTCAAGGTGACTGATAGTCAGACATTGAAACATTGTTTTGACTTATAACCATTTTATATACAAAAAAAGCACTGGACGAGTGACTGGACCAAGTATATTATCCGATTTAGGCAGATTTCCTAGTCAGGTATCGACTTTCACAGTAGCAGATAGCTAGACACTTAAACACGGCTATTGACTTAAACAAATCATTACAATGACATCATTGATTGGGCATGATTTTAAAATTAATATATAATATCTAGCTAACATATTTAAGTAAATTGAAACCTAAATAACTTTCTTCAAAGTTTCACATAATGTGTTGATTTCAGATCATAAATCTCTCAATTGAATTCCTTTTACCCGCCTTAAGTAGGTAGGTATAAACTATATCTGTTCGCCAATAATTTAACATTGAATTTATATTTATATTCTCTCACACACTTTAATGTTTTATGAGCGGAGTAGAGTAGTATTATAGATTTAAACACTAAATAATGACAATATTTCGCTACCTTAACAAATGTACTAACAGAATTGGGGACTTATAGCATTATTAAAATAAGAACACACACCATGATTATAAGATCTGTAATAATAACTTAAAAATAACTTGAAAATATTCAAATAAGCTAAAAATAGCACGACAAAAACTATAAACACCAATAATGTATATAATGCATATCTCATTTTACAGAGTAGTTTTTCTTCGTACAAACATATTTTAAAGAACATAATATGGTAAGCTATTTAAATAGCATATTTCATACTCAAAATACCTTCAATAATTTGTTTTGTATAAGGTAATTTAATTATATTAGAACAATTTATTGAAACTGAATAGATAAGTTAAATTCTGTTACTTTATCTATAAACTTGACTTAAAAAAGGACAACAATCTTCAAAAATAATGAGTTGCCTACAACAAGAGAAGAACACTTTCAAAATGAATTTCATTAATTCATATATTGAATTCATGAATAACATGTAAGATCAAAGTAAACCATAGAAACGACCATAAAAGACGAATCAATCTTCAACATAGGTACATCAACAGAATATAATAAAAAAACATTTATATTGAATGCCTTGTTGATCAACAAATAATAATCATAATCTGTGGTTATTTTATTCAAGTGTAACGTGAATGTATGTGTAAGTGATTTTATCAGTGCATATATCAAAGATTATAATTTCAAAATGGATGACCTGAAGGATGAAGTGAGGTCATTTTTACTTTAATTACAACAAATTCATCATGGAAAGTTTACAGGCATTATATTAAGGCTTGATATAAACTAATCAATAAAACCAAAATAATCATTATATAAGTGAAGCTTGTTATTTAATAATTTGATTATGCCTTTATAATAATCATTGATTATATGTATAACTATTGTCAAATGCATAGTTTTATTAAAAAAACAAATGATAATAATATAATATAACTTTTTGTCAAATTCATAGTTTTATTTAAAAAACAAATGTTAATAATATAATTGTTATAAATAATCTTAAATGTTAGTTAATTAAATAAAAAATATTTTTCCATAATATAATCATATTGTTTAAATTATTGAAATAATTGAAAGCTTTCTACAATAGATTTGTATACAAATATTTAAATCGTTTGATGATAGATAAAAAGTGTACATATATTAGTGTGTTCAATCTAGTAAAAAAAAAAAAAATAATACAAACATATTGTTATTCTTCATAAGATTAAATTTTTTTATCGTTGTTACTCATAAACTTATCCATTATTAAATCCTGTGAATTATTAAATGCCATTATTATTGTATTGTCTGCTTTATCTTTTTCGTTCAGCATAGTTTTTGAGTTAAAAGTGGTTGTTTTCCATCTATTTTAAAAACAAACTAATGGTTGCACATTATAATTACATAATATATTTTCATATTATCACACGTATTTTATAAAATATACTAGATGACACAATTGTAGGTCAGTTAAATATTTAACCATACTAGGTGGATATTATTAGTATCAACGTCAAACATCATCATTGTATATTCTCAAAATTGTTTGGTTACCTATTTAGGTTATAAAATAATACCACGACTAGGGTATAATATGGGTAACAAATAATTTATAAATATTGTACTTTTTTTCTTCATATGACTGATACCTAATGTGAAACTTATTATACTCTGTTTATACAAAATAAGAAGAGTTACCATTCTTTTGACTCTACTTTTTCCATATCAGAAGTATTGTATACCTAGGTAATTTAATTATATTAGAACAATTTATTGAAACCGAATAGAAACTCTGTAACCTAACCGAATTCTGTTACTTTATCAATAAACTTGACTTAAAAAGTACAACGATCTTCAAAAATAATGAGTTGCCTACACGAAGGGAAGAACACTTTCAAAATGAATTTCAATAATTCACATATTAAATTAATTAATGACATGTAAGATCAAAGTAGACCAATAGAAACGTTCCATATTACTGTTATATAAAAAAAAGGCCTTGAAAAGCACAAAATTCATAAAAAATTATGACTTTCTTTCTCAGGAAAAGAACTTATTCCCAATGACTTTCATTCATTCAATCGTTTTATTTAGGAAGAGCACGTAATATCAATGAGCATCAATTATTTAAGCATTTATCACTTACGAGTTACAACTACAAATAATACTATGCAGTAGGTACTTCAAAGTTTAAACACAATTATTTTGTTTTGACCTTACCTTAAACATGACTTCTTAAATTAAATAAATAAACGTTTTTGAGGATCACCTAGCTAGCAAGTTTCACATACCGTCTAGAATGATCGTGACAATTGGAGCCAGGCCAGCGATTAAACTTTCTTAGTTCTTATTATATTTCTTACCAGTCATATTTTAAACTTTTTAAGTTCTTATTAATATCTTCATATTATATTTTTACATTATAAAAAATGACATCTTAAAATCAAAACTTACCGCAGTCGTCGAGAAGCGAAGCTATGCAGACGGTTTTTGAGAATCTCCGAGCAAGCCAATTTCGCATTCCGACTTCAACGACGATTGGAGCTAGGCCGGCGCGGGCGACGAGAAGACATAAGTCGGTGCCAAACAAATCATCAGTGGGCCACCGACAGTCTGCAGGCAGTGACATCATCGTCCGTAAGCCTTTGGTAGTCACGCGTCCCAGTCCCCGTTACGTGTCCGACGCCGAAGTGTTCGGCCTCAATGAGAGGCCACCCAGCCCACCTGCACGCAAAATTTTCGTAGCCAATTACGCGGGGCCGAGGTTTCGGTACTATATGTCGCTGGTCGACGAGGCAATAAATTCAAACGGAGAGGTTAAACCGAAGGCCATCGAAGATACTTGTAAGTGCGAGCCGGAGCCGGAACTCGACACAAATTCGCCGGACGTAAGGGAGCAGAACGAACTCGAAGGCAGTCCGAAACTGTGGCGATGTTCTTCGGCCCCAAACATTCACATAATTTTTGGACTGGTCGGCAACCCGGAATCGGATACCAGTTGTAGTGACGTAGCAAATGAGGAAGTAGCCCTGGTCAGCGTTCAAACCAAACGGCGTCGCAATATATGGACCAGGACGAAGCGATTCTTCCGGCGCATATTTTACTGCGGCGTTTAGAGTAACTTATATTGTATAGCTGTATGTTTTTTCTCCACCACCAGTCAACCAGTTCCGCAAACGTGCCAACAAGACCAATAACAAGTAAATCATGGCTAAATGAACGGCCCCCCTTTCCACTGGGTCGCAAAATATTTGTAGCGAACTACGCAGGGCTAAAGTTACGATATAATATGTCACTGGTGGACGCTGCAGTGAATTCCCCGAAGTGCTACCCTGAAGGGAATTTACACCAATTGTAAGTGCGTGCCGGAGACGGAACTTAAGACAACTTCGACGGACGTTCGGGAGTAGTACGAAGTCATAGGCAGTTCGACGCGGTGGCGATGTGCTTCGGCTCCGAATATTCATATACGCTTTGGACAGGACGGCAAACCGGAATCAAGATACCAGTGATAGTTGTGGTGACGTAACAAATCAGGAGGTAGCCCTGGACCGCGTTCAACTCAAACGGCGTCACACAATGTGGAGCCGGACGAAGCGATTCTTCTGGCGCAAGTTTTGCTGTGCCGTTGAGGGTGACTTAATCGTATGTATTGCTGTATGTTTTTTATACACCGCCAGTAAACTAGTTCCGCAAACTTAAAGTGTCAACAAGACATCTCGTGTACCTGTCAATCTTGTGTTTTGAGTATTTTAGCGTACCTACTCAACCTGTTTTTTAGCAGGAACATGTGAAGTATTGTCCGGTGCAAATCTATTGACCTCAACGACGTTGCAACAATCTCGGGTACCCGGTTCTCGATTACCACTGGAGAAGCCACTGGATCTCCCTCCTGTCCAAACCGTATATA